TAGAAATATATTTAATAATTTCTTTGTATGTTTGCATGGCGATAAAACATATAATAGTTTTGTTTGTGGAAACACTACATAAACTTATTACTGCAAAGCTTTCGATCCGTAAGCCCGGATCTTCATCAGTGCTAATAACACAAAATAGGAAAGTACAGCAGAAAATCCTGGTTATAATTTATCTGGTTATAATTCTATTCCTGGTTATAATTTATTCCGCAGGGACCGAATTGAAACGTCTGGTGGTGGGTAATTCAGCCAATGATAATCACCTATTTGATCACAAGATGCCATTTGGATACTTGATGAAAGTCACTTGTGTTTTCATCAAATATCTTAATTACGCATGCAAAAATTACTTGAATAGAATTCCTAATTATGTTATGCTTGGTTAAGAATTATATTCAAATCAGCAAACAAGAACATTCTGTTACGTCTCGATTCATTTGAGAAGCCATATAAACAACTCGAGCTCGTGTCTCACCGGGATATCCAAACACTCGAAAACAATGTATGAAAACACTCGCGCTTTGCGCTCGTAAAGCGCTCGTGTTCTCATACATTGTTTTCTCGTGTTTGGATATCCCGGTAACACTCGCTCTCGTTGTTCATATATTACATCCTACTACACGAACTAGAGAACCTACAAGTTCATCCTGCACTTTTGAATTGGATTGCAGCCTTTCTAACCAACCGTATGCAGGCTGTTAAAATTGATGGAGTTCTATCAGACTGGAAATCAGTGAAGGGTGGGGTTCCTCAAGGAACTAAACTAGGCGTAATTCTCTTTATTGTCATGACAAACAAATTGTTCTGGGAATGGAATCTTCGGACTAAATTTGTCGATGACACATCCGTACTGGAGATTATTCCAAGAAATTCCATTAGCGTCCTAAACAATGCTGCTGCTGACATACATAATTTTGCCATAGAGCATAATATGAAGCTAAATTAAATCCTACCAAATGCAAAGAAATGCTTATTAACTTCCTACGCAATCCAAACTTTCTGATTAAACCTATACAAATAGGTAACTACGTTATAGAACAAGTGAAGACTTATAAGATTCTAGGTGTGATCATGAGTAGTGATCTAAAGTGGAACTGTCATGTCGACCACATCATCAAGAAAGCCAAGTAAGAAACTATATTCGCTAAGGGTACTGTGTAGAGCTGGAGTCGAAAATGATAATATCTTAAAAGTTTATTTAACTACAGTACGACCAGTGCTGGAATACGCCGTACCGGTATGGCAAGCCATCCCGGACTATTTGTTTGAGGCATTCGAAGTTGTGCAAAAGAGATCACTTAAAATTATCTATCCTGAGTGTGATTCGTACACAGACGCACTAAATCTAGCTGACATTCCTACACTCAAGAGTAGAAGAGATCTATTGTGTGAGACATATATGGACAAAATGAAATCTAAAGACCATCCCCTACATAATCTACTTCCAAAACCGGTCGTCTTTGAGAATCAGCGTAATCTGAGAAGGAAATCAGAACAATTTTACCTATTTAAAAATAATACGGTCTGTAAAACGAACAGAGCACAATCCTTTTTTACTTTTAAATTTTTCCATTAATACTGTTTAATTGAATAATTAGAAATATGCTGTAAATATTAGGAATAAATAATAATAGTCTAAATTTGAACATCTTAATATGAACATTACCTTAGAAATATTATGTAAATTTTACTAGTAAGTTTGTTAATTCAGTTGTATAACTGCAAGAGAGTTTTAATAAACATCAATAATGTAATTTGAGTAGATGTTTACGTCCACAAAAAATTTAACTCGCTCATGCCATCCTGGCTAGTACAGCCAGAAGTTTTTATTTTATCAGGTTTTGTTAGGTAGAAAGTGCCGGTTGTACTAGCCAGGATGGTGTGATTGATGACGAATCGCTTATAAAAACGCGGACAAATACTTGCTTGAGTGAGACTTCTGGTGTACCTTCCCATTCTGTGCTAGTAATATGGGACTTGTTTAATTCACATGCCCTTTTTATATACAAAAGTGTCGTGATCTGTTGGCTCATGTCATTTGAAATTTAATTAACTCATTAAGCGGCAATGCGCCCTGAGATTGGCAAGGGGGGAAGTGGCAATGCGCCCGAAATGACACGCCATTTTCATTGGCCGATTGCTAAAAACATGCATTTCGCGTTGCTTAGCAATGGGCACCTATAAAAACACCCGAATCCGCTCTTTCAAATGAGACCTTGTGCAAGCTTGTACAGTTAATATTGTCCAAGTTACGAAAGTTTTAAAACACCTTTTTGCAATTTTTTTTTAAAATATGGCTGAAGCACTTAGTATGTTAGACAGTAGTGAAGACAAAAACGATTTTGAGGGGTTTTTAATCGACGAAACGGTTGAAGAAACACGGCCTATCGCAGCGGGAACATCGGCGGTTTCGTGGAGAGACATAGCGGGCGATTCGGACGACGATGAAGAGGACTTTCACGGTTTTTCTGACATCGAAGTTCAAGAACTCAACAGCGATAGTGTGAGCAAAAGTGGAAGCGAGATAAGTAACAATAGTTTTGATGGTATTTTTGAATGGAAAGATAATTTAAGTAGTGTTAGTGTTGAAGACTTTACTGCCGACTTTGGTCCTCAACATGGCTTGGGTTTAGACGCTTCCCCTAAGGACTTTTTTGAGTTGTTTTTCAATCTCATTGTGCATGCTTTTCAATCTCATTGTGCATGCTACAATTTCGTACGCCCGTTCAAAATTTAACGATCCAAATTTTACAACCAACCGCGACGAAATGTCTGCATTTTTTGGCTTGAATATTTTGATGGGAATAAACAAACTTCCAAAAATCCGGTCATACTGGGATTCAAATTTATTTTTAGGAAATACCGGCTTTAAAACAACAATGCCTTCCAAACGTTTCCAGATTTTGAACAAGTATTTTCATATTTCGGACCCGCGGCAAGAAAACCCAACCGATAAACTTACAAAAATTCGGCCCCTTATTTCAAAGCTCGAAAATGCTTTTCAAGATGTTTATGTGCCTGGAAAAAATATTTCAATTGATGAGGGTTTGATTAAATTTAATGGTCGTTTATCTTTCAAGCAATATATGCCTAAAAAACCGAATAAATTTGGTATCAAAATTTGGATGTTAGCCGATTCTGAAACTTACTTCGTGCCGCGCTTTCAAGTTTACTTAGGTAAACAACAAAATGCCGATGAAAATGATGCGGAAGAGGCGCGAGGTCTTCGGTTTTAAAGTTGTTGATTTCCTGGGAAAACCCTACTATAATACTTACCGTCATTTCTATTTCGATAACTATTTTTCCTCGGTTCCTTTACTCGAACATTTGCTTGAAAATAAAACTTACGCATGCTCGACCTTGCGCCACAACAGGAAATATTTTCCTGCTGATTTGAAAAAAATAAAACTTAAGCGTGGAGAAATGCGAACTCGGCAAAATGAAAATTTAGTTTGTTTGACATGGCAAGATAAACGTTTAGTCATGATTTTATCGACCAATGTCGATCCACAGCCCGAAGTTTTCGGCCCTTTAGATGAACGCACTGGAAAAAGGAAAGCTGTTCCCGAGGAAGTGCGAGAAAACCCGCCGTCATATCATTGTATAATAAGTATATAAACGGTGTGGACGTAAACGACCAGTATAGGAGCTACTACCCTGTAGTAGCTCAATCTAAAAAGTGGTGGAAATATTTGGCTTGGTTTTTTGTGAATATTTCAATTGTAAACGGTTTCATATTACAAAACTTGCAGACTGATCGACGCCGTTGCCTAAAACATTTAGATTTCCGTCTTGCTTTGGCAAGGCAACTTATTTCGACCTATAACGGCTACAAAAAGATTTCTAGTGCTCCGAGTGGCCGTAAAAAAGATGTTCCAGTGGGTATAAATGTTAAGGGCCATAGTTTAGTGAAGTCTTCAGAGCGAAAACGAGCGTGTGGGATGTGTTCAAAAGCGGGAAGGAAGCGTGCATCGGGAAGAACATTTGAAAGTATATATAAGTGTGCTCAGTGTAATGTAAATCTTTGTAGAGAGCGAGCTTGTTTTATGGAATGGCATCAATAAAGTTTGTCTTACTATTAGACAAAACCATTCAATGTTTGCATGTTTTATATTATGCTGTATGTAGTGTTTTTTAATAAAAGACTGGCTCTTTGCCAGGCAGTTTGCCGAACAGGGAAGCCATGTCAATGCAGACAACAGCTCTGCCATAATCTATCACAGTAAATTTCAGATTTTACCCCCAAACTCTGCTCGTTTCATTTAAGTTTAGCAAGTATATAAATCACAGGTAAATTTCAGTAAAATTAAGACAAAAACCAACCCGTCAAGGCATGAATTTATAGGTGTATTTTGTTTTCAAATCTTGTTATGGAAACACAAATTATACTTTATACATTACATATTTTTTTGCATGAAGGCAACTAAAAATATGCATGAAAAAATCTCATATTTTTAGTAATACAACCCCATTCGTTATAAGAATTTAAATCCTGGCTTTTCAACTATTTTGTAAAACAAAAATCATAAAGGAAATAATAGAAATATTAAAGTTTATAGTATTTCAAGCTTTTAAATATTCAATGTCTTAATTACAAAGGAAACATTTTTCAGAAATTAGCTATGTATGAAGTTCTCACTCATTTATCTTGTCTGTTATTGATCTAGTTGTGCTCATTTATACAAAAAATGAAGGCTTATTCATTACTCAATTGTCTTGCCAAATTTCATGTTTTACTATTACATTGTACTTGAGCTAGAACCATTCTTGTAAACATAGTTTACAGGAACTAAAATTCGCCATTTTGGTTGGCCCTAAGTGGGGTAGAAACATTGCAACTGTCTGCAGCTTAATGAGTTAAACGGCACATCAACTACATCATTTCAAACATGGTGAAGTGATTCCAAGACAAGAGAAATTAATTTTGCACATTAAAGAGAGCACACCACATACTATCTAGTGGATTTCCCTTAGGCTGGATCGATATACCGGATATATCCGATATACCGGTATTTGTTTAGATACCGGTTTGGCGATATTGACAATTTAAAAATACCGATATACCGACATTTTGGTATTTTGCTGCCTAATACCGAAATGAAACGCTATTTCAAGTCAAACTTGCTTACAATCACGTTTAGAAAGCAAAGTTAATACTCACAGATGCATGATTTTGTTCTTACAGTTCTAGCGGCTTTGGTTTAGCAATACCAGACGTCTTGTTAATATTAAATCGCCTTAATCGGAAATATAAAAATGGCGAAATTTTTAAAGGAAAATTTTGACAAAAAAGAAAA